GTGTGGGGGTTCGCTCAGATCTTTGGTTCTTGTCCAGCCCCTCCCCCCTTTTTCGGGGTGCCGGGGGGCACGGACTGTTCTCGTTTCTTTTCTTTTTGATATAAAAACCGACGGAATGAAACTAACTGACCAAACAGTGTTTTCTTCGAGCCAGGGGCACGCAGGGCCCGTCTCCTGGGGCGCCCGGACTCCTGGGTTCTTTCCTTGGCTCCAGGAGGGGAGTGGGGGCTGGTGGGTTAGAGCGGGGGGGCTGGGAGCTAGGACTTCTGGGTTCAATCCCTGATTCTTGCCATCAGTCACTATTGGCCGTTGTGGAAGAAATCCCTTCTCTACCTTTTCCCCCCTGCGAGCTGGGTCGGGCGAGCACAGTCTGAATGCAGACCCCGGCTATGCCAGCCTCGGCCTCTCCCAGCCCAGGGGCGCTGGTGCCCCCGGGGCAGAGTTCGGGCCAGGAAGCAGCTGGCTCCCCCGGCATCTGAACCGAAACCTCCATCTGTGCTTTGGTTTCCTGCTTTCGGGGCCGACCCTGCCCCCGAAATTTCGATTCAAAGGTCACAGATTTCTCTTTCTTCGAAAACAGCCAGCGTGATAAGATCTGGGGCATGGGGTGAGGGGGAGACATGCAGCCACGTCTGGGGTGGAGCAGCCACACAGGGATGCCTCGCCTGGCACTGAGATGCAGCCACCTCTGGGGTGGGACAACTGGGGAACAGCCACACATAACGCTGCATGGTGCTGGCTTGCCTGGTGCTGAGATGCAGCCTCCTGTGGGGTGGGCTGGCTGGGGAGCAGTTTGGGACAGGAAGTGAAGCTGATGCCTGTTTCTGAGTGCAACAGGAGTGGAAATTTCGAGCGGGAGAATGGGCACCTCCGAGCTGGGATTTGGCCCAGACGCCGGGGTTCAATCCCTCAATTTTAGGGGGGGAAAGCCAGGCTAGAGGAGAGTGCCCTTTGCAGAGCCCCCCCGCTGTAGGGCCCCCTTCCCATCCCTTTGTAAATGTCTCTCCCGAGATTCAGGGTCACAGCGCCACACAGTGGTGACTCAGCAATGCAGCAGCCCCCGCCCCTCCCCAATTTTATTTCCTCTGCTTGATTATAGGGTCCTGCTGGAAAAGCCCCCACCCTGCAATCTACTGCCCCTCGCGCGGGGCAGGGGAGGCAGTATCTTCTGCTCCCCTCTGGGCTGTTCTTTACGAGGCTGACGGCTATTTGCAGCACCACTAATATTTGCTTTGCCATGTGCAATGCACAATGCACTATTGTTTGCAGTGCATTCTCACGTGCAAGGTACCATTATTCACGGGGGCCCCATTATTGGCAGGGCTCTATTGTTTGCAGTTCATTACTATGCGCAATGCACTATTGCTCACAATGCATTGTTTGCACTGCACTCTCGTGTGCAATGCACCATTATTTGCGGGGCTCTATTCTGTGCAGAGCATTGGCTTGTGCAATGCACTATTATACATTACACCATATTGTTTGTGGTGCACTCTCGTGTGCAAGGCACCGTTGTTCCCGGGGCACTACGTCGGCGCAACGAGCAATTACGCGCCACGTGCATTTGCTCCACCTGGCGGGCGCGCGCTTACCCACAGCCCGGTGCCCAGGGCGCAAGCGCCGCATTCGGCGTTCCTGCGCATGCACCCAGGGAAGTGCCTGCCAACGCGCATGCGTCCCGCGCAGTCTCCCTTCGAGACACTGCCGAGGGCCCTCGCCCCGCCCCATCTCTGGCGGACGCGACCGAATCCACCGAGCCTGGTTCCGCCTCCTGCCCATTGGCCGCCGCCGAGAAGGCGCCCGTCGTATCAGCGTCCGGGTCCCCCACGTGGGAGGCGGGACGAAGGCGGAACCCACGACGATTGCTGGCGCCGCCGGCCAGTCGCCGCCCGGTTCGCCCCCCCACGTGGGACGGAAGGCTTTCCCCTCCCGCCGTTGGCGGGTCCGCCCTGCCGCTGGCCAATCAGAGCGGGAAGGGGAGAGAGGAACAGAAGGGGGAGGGAGAGACGCGCGAGGCGCTCGAGTTTGGCAGTTGGCGGCGGCCGTTGCTCCCCTCGCGCCTCTTCCGTTTGAAAACGAGGGTTGAGCGGCAGGGGGGCTGGCGCGGCCCCGCCCCCGGGCCTGAGCGGACCGGACCGAACCATGAGCGGGGACGGGGGGATCCCCCGGACCCCACCACCCTCCCCGGCCGCCAAGCGCCGCCGCCCGGGCCCGCTGCTGAAGGAGACCGAGGCCGCCCAGGCGCTGACCCAGCTGACGGCCTGGGGGGGCCTGGAAACCGCCGGGCGGCAGGGGGCGCCCGCGGCCCAGGGGGACCTGGAAACTGCCGTCACCGGGCTGGCGCCCCCTGCTGGGGAGGGGGGCCTGGAAACTGCCATCCCCCCGCGGGGCAGCCTAGACACCGCTGGTAGCGGGCAGAGGAGCCTGGAACCCACTGCCCCGCGGGGGAGCCTCGAGGCTGTCGCCAACGGGAAGGGGAGCCCCAAGACCGCCAGCGGCAGGAAGGGGGACCAAGAAACTTCTGAGGGGGAGATGAGCCCCCAAGGGGCAGCTGGGGTGAAGAGGAGCCTTGAGACTGCCGCTGAACCAGGGAGCCTTGAAACCGATTCTGCTGAGGAGAAGGGGGTCCTGGAAACTGCTGCCACAACGGCGGGGAGGCTCGACACTGACCCCACTGAGGGGAAGGGGGTCCTGGAAACGACAGCGACAAAGATGGGCAGGCTCGAGACTGACGCCGCGGAGGGGAAGGGGGTCCTGGAAGCCGCCGCTGCCAAGATGGGGAGGCTTGACACCACCGCCGCTGAGGGGAAGGGAGGCCTGGAAACTGCCGACGGCCGGGAGGGGCGGAGGAAGAGGAGGGCGGAGGAGGAGTGCTCCATCATCTCGGTGGGGGAGGAGGAAGAGGAGGAGGAGGAGGGGGCCGTGGCGGCCCGGCCGGCCCCGGACACGGAGCAGTACCTGGAGGCGCTGGAGGCGGTGCAGCTGGAGCTGGAGGCGGTGAACGAGCAGGCCGGCTGCGCCTTCCGCATCCTCAAGGCCAAGTTCGGCCACATGCGCCGGCCCCACCTCGAGCGCCGCAACCTCATCATCCAGAACATCCCCGGCTTCTGGGTCACCGCCGTATCCCTC